GAGAATGAGGACATGAGAACATCTTTCTCTCTGTCTCCTCACTCTCCCCCCCCCCTCTCTCTCTGTGCGTCTCTCTTTCTCTCCTCTCTCTTCACCCCCTCTCTCCCTAACAAACGCACACACACACACACACACACACACGCACACACACACACACACACACACAACAGGAGTACGTCGAGGACAAATGAACCCAATTAAGGGCGGGTACGTACGTGCGAGGAGGACAAGTAGTGGCTCCTCCTCGCCGCTTCTCCTTCCAGCAGGCGGCGGCGCGAGTCGTCTCTGCTTGTTTGGGCCACAAAATGCTTTTTTGGTCCCCTCCTTCTTATCCTCTCCGCACCTCGGCGCCGCGTGCACGTCCGCGGACGAGTTCAGCACGTTTATGAAGTGACGTACAAGTGTACCGAGTGTGGCGGAACGGTGCACTGCGCGTCGTCATGGCGACCGCAACCCCGATTCACTACGACGACGACGACATCCCGGTGACGCAGCCGCCGGCCGCCCCAGCCAGCGCACGTCGTGGGGCTGCAACCCCCGCGAAAACGTGGCTAAGGCCTCGTCCTCCCACCCCCCGCGCCGGGTGGCGGGCGCCCCGCGGGGTCCCCCGTCCCGCGGCTATTCCTCTCCATTAAACGGCCGTAAAAAAACGGAAAAAGACACACAACATGAGACGAAAATGAAACGAGTCAATTGTTTGACCATCCCCCCGCTGTTGCTACGCCCTTTCTCCGCCCTGCCAGGCACGACATGTCACGCATCTGGTCGCGGTACGTAGTACGTAGCACACGTCCACCAAGACTGCGTGCGCGGGGAATGGAATCGATGCAAACAGATGTCGTACCGCAGCGCATGCAGGCGCCGCCAGCCTCGCACCGCCAGGCACTGCCGTCGTGTCGCCGCACAATATGACAGGTCGTTGTGATTTCGGCTACGCAGCGCGCGCGGCCCGCCGCCCCCTGCTCCCCGTCTGACTGGCATCAACAGGAAACGCAGTAGATGCGTTTTGATATCGTATGCGTGGCGCCGTGGCGGCGGGTGGAGGAGAGGGAGGGGGGGGGCAGCTCTCCGGCGCCACCACCCCGCCGAGGAGGCGCGAAAGGGGAGGGCAGAGCGGAGGGGCCCAAGGTCCGAGGAGGGCCGCACGGGATCCCGCGGGGGGGCTCCGGGGCCGCCCAGGGGAGGGCGTTGCACTGGGCCCCGCCGAGCCCAGCGCCGCTATCACGCCCAGAACAAGACGAAAAATAAAAGGCGCTGCTCCGAGCAGCCTCGGAGGCCCCGGGGAACGAAAATAAATGAAAGGGAGAAAACAACACCCCGCCGGCCTGCAACATGACTGCGCCATGAGCCGCGTGGCAGCGCACCACCATGCAGCAGCGGGCCGCCATGGGGCCCCTCAGCCAGCCGGGCCACGACCCTGCCGCATCCCGCTATGGCGCGTCACGCCCCGCCACGCCCCGCCACGCCCGGCCACGCCCCGCCACACACCACCACAGCCTCGCTTTGCCTCGGACAATAAACACGGCGTTGATGGGACGCATGCATCCTCCCCGGCGCGGCCCGGCCCTGCTCGCCACGCTCACGGCCGCTCGGCCCGTCGCACACCACACAATCGTGGAGGTGGCGCCTGCTCATGGGGTTGGAAAAGCCTCGCGCTCCGCAGTGCAAAAGAGGAATCAGAGCTGCCGTGGTGGAGCGAGCGACGGCGTCTGGCCGTGCAACCCCACCGAGGCTCTGGTGGTGGAGCCTGTTGGAGGCCCCGTGCACCAGCACCAGCCAGGGCAGGCGCAGGCCATGAGATGCCATTCCGGGCCGAGAGGGTGACGACCCTAGCTCGGCCCGATTGGGGGGCTGGAATGCACCTCGTGGGGGCCGAGCGCGGCCGAGACGCGGCGCGCTGCTGCAGCCCCGCGCAAGGCGGATTAGAGTGGAGAAGAACGTGAGGAGGAAGAAACACGACTGGGAAGGGAAAGGGGGAGGGCGGGGGATGGACGGGCGAGGCAAGTCGCGCCGTGATGCTAAGGCGGAGAGGGGCCCGCGGGGCGCGGGGCGCGCGGCGGCGGGGCCCGCCTGCAGGGCGGAGCGGAGCCTGACGGGGCCCAACGGGCGAGGGGCGGGGCGGGGGCCTTCGCCTAGCCTAGGCAGGAGGGCCGGGCTGGGCAGGGCAGGGCTCAAGACCAACGCCAGGGCCAGGCCCTTGGCCAAGCCCTGTGGCCAGCACGCCAACGCAGCATCGCATGAGAGCCAGGGCCAGGACCCGCGGGGGGAGCGGCGGCGGTGCAGCGCGGAGGGGCGTCAGTCCTTGTGGTACAACTGGACTGGCGGGGCAGCTCTGCCGCTCTGCCCTTGGGCAGGCTGGTCCAAGGTCAGGGCGCGTCCAGCAGCGTCCAGCATCGTCCAGCCCGGGCCAAGCGCAGACGAGCAGTGCCACGGTGGCAGTTCACGCAGTGGCTGCACTGCTGCACTGTGGCTGCTGTCCCCCGCTGCTGGTGGTGTGACGTGCAGCTCCACCCGATACTGCTGGCCGTCATGGCCTTGGCAGCCTGCTGATGATCGGCCCACCCCCTCCCGGCTGGGGGTCACCCCCACCCCCTCCCTTCCGCCGTCCCCGCGCCCGACCCCGACGTTCTCCCCTCGCCGCCGCGAGCGCAACTATCAGTTAATCGAGAGAAATTGGCTCATCACTGTAACTACTCCCCGATGAAAAGTTATCGTCGTCCCAAGGCGAATCTCCCTCAGCGTCCCGCTGGTCTGGCGCGTTTTGGGGGGCGGTGGAAAACTTCGGCGGCGGCGGCGCCCTCGCTCACCCCCTGCGAACGGGGATATTAAGTGTTAGTGGTGGTGATGGTGGTCTAGGTGGAGGTGGGATCATCGCTCCATGGCCCCCGGGCGTCACGCGGTGGTTTTTGGGTTGTGTCTCCTCCGCGGGACGGGCTGGCTGGGCGTGGCGGAGGTAAGGCAGCCATTTCGTGTCGGGGAGTCGGCGGCGTGCGCCCCATTCACCATTATGACCGTGGCTCCGGTGCGTCCGGTGCGCAGCGGGTACCGCGGGGTACCGTGGCGCAGCTGGGCCGAGCCGAGCGCGGCCCGCATCATACGTCTCGGAGTCGGCAAGCCGTCTTCCAAATTATGTCATCATAGTTTCTGCGTCCAGTATGTCTTTTTTGGGGTTTCTTGTTTTATGATGAAATCTCGTCCGAATTTTGGAGCAAATCCGTTTGACATGGAGATTCTCTAGGACGTCACGTCAGGCCAGGCAAGCTAGCAGCGCGGAAGATCAGGGCAGCAGGATCTGGAAAGGCTCGGCGCAGGGCCTCGCGCGTCTGCTGCTTAGAGCTCACTTACGATTTCTACCCCCCCCCCCCTTTGCTCGATTTACAGAGCGCGACACACACACACACACACACACACACACACACACTTCCTGCGTCACCCGCATGCAGCCAGCCCTCCCCGCAATTATCACCACCCGCACACTCGCTGGGGAGCGAGAGTAAATGACATGCCCGCGGTGCACACGATGCACGTTGCAGGTTGGGCCCCGGCGTAGCGTCGAGGGGGACAGCTAAACATTGGAAACTTTCGGAAGCTTGATTAGAGGGAAAACTTGCTGCCTCTTTTGTTCAGCTCTGTCTTTTGCAGATCTTGATCAAGATGTGGCCCAAAACCTGCGGAGCAAATTACAGTACACGCGCGCGTCGACAACTTCTAGAGATGAAGGAAACACCTCTTTTTAACAGGGCTGCCAGGTCCGGAGTGAGTCAAGTCGCCAGAAGAGGGCGCTCAAGTCGCCAATCGTCGCCAGCCGCCCAAGTCGCCAAAAATCGCCCGCCACAGATTCAAATCGCCAAAAATCGCCAACCTTTTAGTGGGATAGCCAAAAAAGTTCCGACCAGAAACGGATCGTGAAAGCAGATGATACCTTGTCAAGAATTACTCTATTCTAGTTTATTAGTAGCCCGCCCTTCTGCTTTGAATTATTCTATTCCAGTCTATTATATTTCTGTATTTACACTTGTAGGGAAGGGGGGGGGG